ATATAATATATAAATTTCCCTTACATGTTGACTCCAAACAACAAACAGGCAAACAAACAACTAACAAAATATAGACAAGAAAGCAGACATAAAGGAGAAGGGGGAGAGGGCCTTGGGAGGGAACATTGAAAACGGGTGACACGAGAGTAGAAGATTTGCTGAGCTTTATCTCTAAGAAATTAATAATAAACTACAAATCAAAATACGATGTCTTGCCTGTTCAGTAAACAATAATACTGGACACTCTTGTCTACTTTATGTAAAAGGGAAATCAACATGACAATGGTCATTGAATACTGCAAGAGGTAAAAAAAAAAAGACAATTGAAAAAAAAGCACAGGGAAAGAACAGGCATATTATGACATACAGGATGCGCCCTTCAAAAGCCTGTCATTGATCCTCTTTGTAGTTTATGATCGTCATTCAAGCCAAACCAAAGAAGATTTGGTAAAAATAAATGTTGCACCTCCATCCCTCATTCTTACAATAGTTAAAGACGTCTTTCGAGAATGACTGTATGCGACCAACTTTTGGCTCAACAGAGAACGGAGACAAACTGAGCCTTGATGTTGTTGTTGTTGGTTTGTTTTGTTTTTAACGGCGAAAAAAATGAATAGGTTGTATAGTCGGTGAGGAAAATGAAACAAAATGAATTGGACACCTATTAAATCTATAACTGCTATAAAAAATATAATTTTAACAAAAAATAAAAAATAACACCCACATTTCGGTAAGTACATGTATATTTTTATTATACCAACACATTACCCAGCTTGCTTCATTTGTGTAGCGGTTTAACGCTTCGCTATCTAAGGCAGAAGACTTGAATTTGATTCCCACGTGTGAAGGATATTTATTACCTATTTTATCTTTCCGCTGGAATATGTCTCCCTTTCAGCATGGGCTGGCTGTTATAGGTAGAGTAGAAACCTGCCTCCTTAAGGATCTAAGTGTGACGATGGGAGCGTTGAGGGGAGGAGCGACCCTTGATTTGGCAGATTTTGGGTCAGGCTATGCAAATTTTCTGTTAACTGATTTTTGAAGATCAACCAGTTTTTTGTCCAAAAATAGCATGGATACATTTGAGAAAGTGTTTATTCTCCACGTAAATTGCCTTTGAAAACATGACGACGGGTTAATATAGTGAATTTTCACAATAATAGTCAGT